CGCTGCAATCCCTTCTCCTCCACTCTCCTCTCGGGATCTTGGGCATGCACACACACGCGCCTGGCGTGAGTCTCAAGCCACCGGGTCCAGGATGCGAACCCTGGTTGACTACATGGGAATCCAGCGACATAGGCATTACGCTAACTGCTGGTCCCAATGCAGATTATTTTCAAGTCAAATATGAGTGACCTAGGCCCGGAGAAGAGGCATACATGCCTTTCTCGGGGTGATCATGTACAGAGGTTCCTTTTATTTGTTTCTGAGATTGACAGACAACATTTAGTGAAACGATTTTCCATTGGTCTGGCCCAAAAAGGCGGGACATATAGAAGGGGAGGGTTGTAGGTTATAGGTGGGTTCCACAATTCTTAGGTTGGTGATTGGAAGGGAAGACCTGTGTCTTAGTCAAAGAAAGGCTTAATCTACATCTCAAGGAAAAGGGAGTTCTGTTTCTTGGGAAGAGAAAAGCAAAAGAATATACTGTAATGGGTTGAAATATACATCTCAAAGATACTATGCCAGGAACAGGAGGTAGGAAGAATCCTGTTAATAGAAAATAAATGGTCTGTTAATGTTTGTGGCCGTGACTTCCCCAGTCCCTTTTGAAAAGATTTTGGAAAATAGGCAAAGTAGTCAGACTTCTGTCCACAAAAGTAAGAAAACACCCTCCAGGAGTGATTCTCCTACACTGTCCTCTTGGGATTTTGGGCACACATGCATCTGGCATGTTTTTCAAGCCTCTGGGTCCAGGACTCAAACTGTGCTATTGGCCATGTTAAGGTTAAGCCACCTTAACCTCCACACCACTGGCTGGCCTCACCTTGCTCTGTTAACTCAGAGAAGATAACTGGGCCCCTCTGCTCCTGCCTCTGGGGAACTCACCCCTCTGGGGGTCATCAGCTCTGAACAACCCTAGGGCCCTCCCAACCCCACTTGTTTTCCTCACTCTGGATTCTTCCCATACTGTGGGGTCCCATCTGACCTACTGAGCTTAGCCTGGGTCCTCCATCCCTGCCTGCAACCTTCTCCCCATTCCAAGGCTGCTGAGAATGTGGGAGGACGCCCTGGGGCACCCTGGGGGTAGTTCTGGAGGTTCAGAGTTCTCAAGGCCCTGGGCTCTCTCCTTCTCTTTCTTCCTCCCCCTGCACTCCTCTCCTTTGGCCCTTTCTCTCCCCTAGGTCTGCTGCTGAGAGTCAGTTGCACTCAGTGGGCGGGAGTGCGACACTATGACACTACGCAGGAGGGGATATGAGCAGGTCACAGTCCCCTTGCAGAGAGAGCAGAGGTGTGGGCAGGGCGTCTGGGTCCCCCGCTGCCTGGCTGGCCTACGATCTATCAGCCAGCTTGACTTTACTCTGAGACCCACAACCCCATCCTGCTAGACCACTCCCTAAGTAGGATTCCCCCATCCACCGCCCTCGCCCTGTCCCCAGCAGCCGCTTCCCCTCGCCCGCCTCCACCCTCTTGGTTCCATTGTTATTATTATTTTCTATTTGCTGTAGGGTGTATGCACTCTCCAGAAACTGAGCGGAAAGCGAAAGAGAAAAAGACGGGAAAGTGGGAAATCTCTCCCCAGTGGGGACGGCTACGCTGCAATCCCTTCTCTTCCATTCTCCTCTCAGGATTTTGGGCACGCACACACACGTGCCCAGTGTGTTCCTCAAGTCACCCATCTGAGCCACCCAGTCGGCTCTGTGGGATCCAGCCACCCTAACCACCACACTACCTGGCTGGCCCCAGTGTTATTTCGAACCTCCCCAAAAGCCAGTGTCTGTTTGAATGGTCTAATAGCTTTTTTTTTTTTTTTTTTTAACAGCTTTATCAAGATATAATCCCCATAGCACACAATTCACCCATGTAAAGCATGTAATTCCTGGCTTTTAGCACCCACCCAGAGTTAGGTACCCACCACAATTTCCATCATTTTCATTACTCCTCAGGGGAAAGCCTGGATCCTGCAACAGCCAATCCCCAGCTCCCTAAGCCCTAGGCAACCATTTATCTAGCTTCTGTCTCTAAATAGATGGTCTTATTTTAGACATTTTATATAAATGGAATCACACAATATGGGGTTTGGGGACCAGTTTCTTTCACTCAGCATTTTTTTTCCCCTCTAATTGCCAGAGGGCACATGTGCATGCCTAAAAGAGACAGAAAGAGAGAAGGAGGGAGAGAAAGCCTCCCTCACACCGAGGCCCAGTCGCCCGCCGCGTCCCCTCCTCCACCTCTCCAGCCTGATGAGATTTGGACCATGCATACACCCATGTCCTGCCTGCTCTCCAAAGCTTTCGGGTCAAGATTCGAACCATGGTCACTGTGGGATCTGGCTCTCTTAACCACCAGGCTATAGGGCTGGCCCACTTAGTAGATTCTGTTTCATCTATGTTGTAGCATGTATCACCACTTCATTTTATTTTTAAAATTTTGCCAGAGGGTATATGAATTCACCAGAAAGAGAAGGGAAAAACAAACAAACAAGAAAGCACCCCCTGGGTGAGGGGGGGAGGTCACACTACAATCCCTTCTCCATTTCTCCTCCTGGGGTTTTGGACACATGTATATATTTCTGTGTGGTATATTTCTCAAGCTGCTGAGTCTGGGACTTGAACTGCACAGTCAACCATGTGGGGTCCAGTTGCCTTAACCACCATGCCACCTGGCTGGCCCATGGTCACTTTAGGTATTGAGGATTATTCCATTGCATGTAGGGTGGTCCTCCCTTATCCATGGTTAAGTTTTCGGCCGTTTCAACAACCTGTGCTACAACACACTAAGACTTTTTTTTTTTTTTTTTTTGAGAGGCTATAGGGCGCGTGCGCTCGCCAGACAGAGAGAGAGACAGAGAGACAGAAAGCGAGAAATCACCCCCCAGGGGGGATGGCCACACCGCAATCCCTTCTCCTCCATTCTCCTCTCGGGATCTTGGGCACGCACGCACATGAGCCCAGCATAAGTTTAAGCCACCAGGTCCAGGACGCAAACCGCGGTCAACTACATGGGAGTCCAGCGACATAGCCATTACGCTAACTGCTGGTCCCATGCCCTCAGCACACTAAAACATTTTGAGAGGTCACAATCCCATAACTTTTATTCCAGTGTATTGTTAACTAGTATTCTGATTTACTTTTAGTTACTGTTAATCTCTGACTGTGCCTAACTTACTAATTAAACTGTATCATAAGTTTAAAAGTGGTGTGTGTATATATATATAGTTCAGTATGATCCACAGTTTCAGACACCCACGGGGTCTCGGAACACGTCCCCAGCAGGTACTGAGGTCTCCTGTACAGTACACATTCTGTTCACTCATCAGCTGATGGACATTGGAGTTTTCCCCCACTTTTTTTTTTTTCTTTTAGGTTTTTTACCATAGGGCACATGCACTCCCAGAGAGAGCCAGAGAGAGGGAAATAAGGTATACCCCCTGGTAGGGGAGGCGGGGAAGGCCAGGCCACAATCCCACCTCCACCATTCTCTCCTTGGGATCTTGAGCACACACACACACCTAGTGTGATTTTCTATTTTTTCCTTTTTTTTTAGAGAGATTTTTGCTATAGAAATTACCCCCTAGGGGGGGATGGCCACACCGCAATCCCTTCTCCTCCAATCTCCTCTTGGGATTTTGGGCTTGCACACACATGCACCTGGCGTGAGTTTTAGGTTGAATGGTTGACTACATGGAAGTCCAGTGATGTAATCGTTGCGCCATCTACTGGTCCCCCCTTTGTGGTTTTTAAGCCACCAGGTCCAGGACTTGAACTGCAGTCAGCCACGTGGGAGTCCAGTGCCTTAACCACCATGCCACCTGCTGGTCCTTAGCTGTTATTAATAATGTTTTTATGAACATTTGTGTACAATTTGCATAGACATGTTTTCCTGCTTTTATTTTTGTTTTTTAATTGTCAGAGTGCATGCACACTTGCAAGAGAAAGAGGAATAAAAAGAAAAAAAAAAAGAAAGCGTCTTTCAATGCAGCATGGTTGTACCACAATCCTCTCCCCTCCATTTCTCCAGCCCATCAGGATTTGGGGCACACAGGCACATGTTCCTGGCATGTTTTTCTCCAAGCTCCTGGTGCCGGGATCCGAGCCATGGGCAGTCATGTGGTATCCAGCTCCCCATGCACAGGATTTAATCATTACACTTCAGGGTTGGCCCAACATGTTTTCCTTTCTCTTGGGTTTATACATCAAAGTGGAATTTCTGGGCCAACTCCGGTAACTAATATTTTTAAATAATTATTTTATTTAACTTTATTTATTTTCTTGTTTTCATTTGACCAGAGAGGGACAGAGAGAGGGACAGAAAGAGAGAGAAAGTGAGAAAGCAAGCCACCAGGTCCAGGACTTGAACCACAGTTGGCCATGTGGGAGTGCAGCGCCCTTAACTACCATGCCACCTGCCGGCCCGGTAGCTAATTGTTTTGGATAGCCAGATGGTTATCCAAAGCAGCTGCACATTGCCATTCCCCCCAAGAGTGTATGAGAACTCCTGTTCCGCAGCAGTCCCGCCAGCACTC